TCGAATTTTGGATTTTGGAAGAATGATAGGAATTTCATCTCTAGGCTATGGGATTACGTTTTTGAGCCCTTATTGATATTATTGAACTAATTATGCCTAGATATCATTGTTTCGGAGTTGGATTGTAGAGGAAAGGCGCTATTAGAGAGTTGATCGCTATTCTTGGACCGAGGTAAGTGTTTGTTCTAACTTTGGCTTGAGGGAATAGGATTAGGATGTTATTTGCTACTTGCTAAATATGGAGTACGGTGTATAGGCATGGTGACGTTTGTCTATGCACCGGAGTCTAGCATGACCGTGAGTCTTAACCTGCTGACAGTTCAAACATCGAGCCACATATGCAACAATATCTTTCTTCATCCTACGCCACCAATAAAGCTGCCGCAAGTCCTGATACATCTTTGCAGCGCCCGGGTGAATAGAATACCGAGAACTATGGGCCTCCGCTAAGATCAACTCTCGAATCCCATCGACATTGGGCACACAAACTCGCCCCTGCATCCTCAAAACACCATCATCATCTAAGGTCACCTTCGTGGCACCTCCACGCCTGCACCGTGTCTCTCAGGACACACAAATGGGGATCATCAAACTGCCGGTCACGGATATGCTCCAATAATGAAGAACGAGCGACCGTACAAGCTAACACTCTGCTAGGCTCAGAAATGTCCAACCTCACAAATCGATTGGCCAGGGCCTGAATATCCAAAGCAAGCGGTCTCTGGCTGACCGGAACATAAGCAAGACTACCCATGCTGGCGGACTTCCTACTCAATGCATCGGCCACCACATTGGCTCTCCCCTGGTGGTACAAAATAGTAACATCATAGTCCTTCAATAGCTCCAACCAGCTCCGCTGCCTCAAGTTCAACTCCTTTTGCTTGAACAAGTATTGCAGACTCTTGTGATCCGTGTACACCTCACACGTCACACCATATAGGTTATGCCTCCAAATCTTCAAAGCATGAACAATGGCTGCCAACTCGAGATCATGAACCGGGTAATTCTTCTCGTGGATCTTCAACTGCCTCGAAGCATAAGCAATGACCCTGCCATCCTGCATCAATACCGCGCCAAGCCCAATACGGGAAGCATCACAATAAACTGTATAAGGTCCTGAGCCTGTGGGCAAAACCAATATCGGTGCCGTAGTCAGAGCTGTCTTGAGCTTCTGAAAGCTCGCCTCACACTCATCCGACCATCTGAACTGGGCACCCTTCTGGGTCAACCTGGTCATCGGGGCTGCAATAGATGAAAACCCCTCCACGAACCGACGATAGTAACCTGCTAACCCCAAGAAACTCCGAATTTTAGTAGCTGATGCTGGTCGAGGCCAATTCTTGACTGCCTTAATCTTCTTCGGGTCCACCTGAATACCCTCTGCTGATACAACATGACCCAGGAATGCAACCGAACTCAACCAGAACTCGCACTTCGAGAACTTAGCATATAACTGACTATCCTTCAGAGTCTGAAGAACCACTCTGAGGTGCTGCTCGTGCTCCTCCTGGCTGCGGGAGTACACCAAAATATCATCAATAAAGACTATTACGAACATATCCAAATATGGCCTGAACACTCGGTTCATCAACTCCATGAATGCTGCTGGGGCATTGGTCAACCCAAACGACATGACCAGGAACTCATAATGCCCGTACCGAGTGCGGAATGCTGTCTTAGGGACATCGGATGCCCTAATCCTCAGCTGATGGTAGCCAGATCTCAAGTCTATCTTTGAAAACACCTTTGCACCCTGAAGCTGGTCAAACAAATCATCAATCCTCGGCAGTGGATACTTGTTCTTTATCGTCACTTTGTTCAATTGCCGGTAATCAATGCACATCCTCATCGATCCATCCTTTTTCTTCACAAATAACACCGGCGCACCCCAAGGAGAAACACTAGGCCTGATAAAACTCTTCTCTAGCAAATCTTGCAACTGGTCCTTTAACTCCTTCAACTCTNTAATCGTGGGGAATTATACAGGCAAGTTTGTCAAGTGACACAAATTCATTCAGCTCACTCTGGGGAAGCCTCTGGTCCTCGTTGCTATCATCCATGTCCCATGCCTGTATGACTTCCTCCCTGGCATCCTGCAGTGATTGGAAGACATTCGCAAGGCTTGCAACTAGATATGACACTATACGTGCAAGTTATTATACAGTAATATGTATGGGAAGCGAAATTCCTTTAAAGAACCCACTATGGCCATACAACCATAATCATTGACAAAGTAGTCAAGTCAGTCCATAATAAATGCTTAAGAGACACAAGCACACTGCAAAACTAATACTACCTTGTAAGTAATTGCTTACCGCAAAAGGCTCAGTAGTGGACACTATGGACAAGAAAGGCTCATTAGTGGACACTATGGACAAGAAAGGCTCATTAGCGGACAACGTGTAGAGATATCACATGGACTCCTTCTCATAAGTCACAACAGAATCCGTTAACATCAAGGCAGTTCAAAAGATCATCCAGACCTCATTAAAGAAGCAAATAAGGCATGCACTTTAGTTCTGGAGGGTGCAGGCACGACGGACAGTGAGGAGGCTGGCTGCAAGCTTGTTCCAGAACCACAACCACAAAGTAAAAATCGATCATATGCTTACCACAAAATACTTACAGGACAAAACAACAGACAATTGCATGGCCTTTTGCTCATTAACACGTCACAAATGAAAAGGGGAAAAAAGATGCGAAATCCATTGGCAACATCCATTATGATTACTGAAATAGCTGTGATCACCTAGAGCGACCCATCATTTCAGAATTGGAATGTGAGGGTTATAGAGATTTCTTTTTTAAAGTAATGTAGAGTAATTTTATTGATGAGGAAACCTAGTTTACAAGTGATATACATAGTGAGGGCTAAAGGAAATGATGGCTAAAAGGCCATAATTGTCCAACAAGACATAACCACTCCCATTAGACAAAAGATGCAGAACTAGCCAATTAAGGAAAGTAACCAGAACACAATCTCAACTACTTTTGGTTAAGGCATGTTGATTGATTTGAATACACAAAAATTTCCCTCCCCTCCAAAAATTATCACAAAAGTTTCAACTCCTTTTCCAAGTCCGTTAAAAATAAAAAAATAAAAACTTAAAAAATTGCTTGATGAAACTGTAAGTTCTTCAAAAATCTCTTATTGATGCCAATATATCACGACCAGTGCAATTTCTTCAACCAGGCTACTGCAGACCGATTAAATTTATAACTAGAACCAACTCTGAGAAATTCTTTTGATAAGACAAATAATTTTATTGATCAACCAACTCTGTGAAATCTTTTTGGTATCTTGTTGTACTGTTACTTCTGCAAGATCAATCTCAGTTTACTACAGGAGAGTACTCATATAAGTCTTCATCTTAGGCAGATGCTCACGTTAAAAGGAATTAACTGACAACTAGCATAATTTTTTAAGGAAAACATGAAACGACCTGAAAAATGTAGGGGAATATCATGTCCTTTTAAAAGTTAACACAATAAAAGCTGGAATGTAGCACATAGAGTAAGAATGTATACCAAATAACACCCTGAAAGTAGCTATCCTAGGACTACTCAGAGTTGTTTTCCTGGTCTTCATTCTTTCACTGAATCTATGTACCCAGCCAGCATCAAAGTGAAGAAACCCAAGTGCAAGGACCAAATGATCAACCAATAATGGAAAAATAGAAGGTTCTCACAGTAGAAAGCACCCTAATTTTCTGGGTGCACAAGAAGTCAACAACCCAAACTATTGGTCATTGTGTTTGCCCTTTCACCCGGAGAAAAGCTGCATTTGCTAACAATATCTTTCAGTGGATCACATGATTCACACACTATTAATTAGTTAATTTACATTTTAGAAATTACGTATCTTTATGTTTGTAAAGGTGTTAAGACTAATTCAATGCAAGTAAATCTCAAAATTATACATATTCCACTGCTAACTTCCACTGAGGCACTGGTTTTTATATTTGTAGGCATCACAAAGGAAAGCAAAATTTTGAGAAAAATTCAATGTTGAATTTTTTTAATTGATCTTAGCTTATCGATTAGTTGATCTGTTTCTATTAGAGTATTAGTTCTTCATCTAATAGCCAGCTTTCTGTCCAGTATTTTTTAATTGTTGATACGTAATGACTTTATCTTAGTATAATAAACTAGACATGGGTTTATTTTCTCTCTTTTATTTGCTATAGTTTATCTATCTCCTGAACATGTATATTTGCAGATTACAATTCTTTTTTTTTTTTTCTGAAACTTGCATGTCAAAGGGTTTGAATTTCACAAGAGGACTTGGAGAAATGAGAGAAAAACACCTTCAACATAAGGTAGTGAAGTGAGGCATTAGCTCAAATTCCGCATTTAAATCATTAGCTCGCTAATGTAAGTACTATTCCACCTGTAAAATGCCCATCAAAGAAGCTAGAAAATCAAACATAAACAGGCACGAAAATGATAACAAACAAAATTCAAGACATATGAAATCATTAACTTCTGTAGAATTGTACGAGAAAAAAGGCAGTTCCATAAACAAAAATAGCATCAGCAACCAACAAAACTCCCAAAAAAAGAGAAATTTCATATCTTGAACAGGAATTTGTAACTAGAATTTGAATCGAGTACCTTTGCAACGGAACCCATTTTTTGTCTTCGCTTCTCTCAGGGAGCTCCAGAACCCATCAAATTTCATATCAACTTCAATTAGGGTGTTTTGGACCAATTGGATTTGTGGACCCTAATTTTAATTANGTCGGATGGTTTGAGCCGGGAGAGGCTCGGTTATTGGGTACAGATTTAGTTCAGGAGGCCTTGGATAAGGTCAAGATCATTCAGGACAGGCTTCGTTCGGCTCAGTCGCGGCAAAAGAGTTATGCGGATCGTAAGGTTCGAGATGTAGCTTTCATGGTTGGTGAGCGGGTCTTGCTCCGAGTGTCGCCTATGAAGGGCGTGATGAGATTTGGGAAGAAGGACAAGCTTAGCCCTAGGTTCATTGGCCCATTTGAGATTCTCGATCGAGTGGGAGAGGTGGCTTACAGACTTGCCTTGCCGCCCAGCTTGTCGGCCGTGCATCCAGTGTTTCATGTGTCCATGCTTCGGAGGTATCACGGCGATCCAGCCCATGTGTTAGATTTCAGCACTGTCCAGTTGGATAAGGATCTGTCTTACGAGGAGGAGCCGGTAGCTATTCTAGACCGGCAGGTTCGACAGTTGAGGTCGAAGAGTTTTCCTTCAGTGCGTGTCCAGTGGAGAGGTCAGCCTCCTGAGGCATCCACTTGGGAGTCCGAGTCTGATATGCGGAGCCGTTATCCTCTTCTATTTCCCGACTCAGGTACTTCTTTCTTTTGTTCGTTCGAGGACGAACGGTTGTTTTAGAGGTGGAGAATGTGACGACCCAAAGGGTCATCACCGGATTTCTCTCTTTTCCATGCTTTCGAGGCCTTGAAAACCTCGCTTTTAGTTGCCTCGATTTGCGTGCGCAGTCCGGGCGCGAAGCCGGAAAGCTTTTATGTTGAAATATGTGAACTTTGTGAAAAATTTGAAGAATTTTGATATTAATATTGCTAAAGTTGACTTTGGTTAACATTTTTGGTAAACGGACCCGGACCCGGACCCGTGATTAGGCGGTCCCGGAGGGTCCGTAGAAAAATATGGGACTCGGGCATATGCCCGGAGTCGAATTTCGAGGTCGAGAGCCCGAGAAATGAATTTTTCTATGAAATTATTTTTCTGAAATTATTAAGGAAAATGGAAATAAAAATTGATCAAAAGACTATGGTATCGGGCTCGTATTTTGGTTCCGACGCCCGGTACAAGTCTTAAATATGTGTTAAGCGCTTCCTATAAAGTTTGGTCGAAATCGGATGTCATTTGACGTGTTTCGGACCTAAATATCTAAAAATTTGAAGTTATGAAGTTTGAAATGAAAATGATGATCTTGAGGCTTGGCTCAATGATTTTTGATGTTATTTTGGTGATTTGATCGCCCTGATAAGTTCGTAGGATGTTATTGAGTTAGTGTGTGTGATTGGTTAGGAGCCCCGAGGGCTCGGGAGTGAACGGGAGGTGGTTCGGGGTGTTTTTACACTTAGAAAAATAGCAGATTTTGCTTCAGCTGTTGCAGAGCCCATTTCCTCTTCGCGATCGCGTTCTTCATCCCGCGTTCGCGATGCCTTACTCCCTCTTTCCCTGAGGGTTGAGTCTCCTTTTCCCCTTCGCGTAGGGTTATTTGACCCTGAGGGCTGAGTCTCCCTTTTCCCCTTCGCGTTCGCGTTTGTACCCTCGCGTTCGCATAGAACAGTTCCTGGACCCCAGCAATTTCCTTCTACGCGTTCGCGTCTCTCTCCACGCGATCGCGATAGCCTACCCAGTCTACCCTTCGCGAACGCGACCCCTCTCCCGCGAACGCGAAGGGCAATTTTGCCCAGCGAATTTTTAAGTTAAAAACAGAACAGTAGCTCGGGATTTTCACAAAAATACACGAACTCCTTTCTTCTCCAAGCACTTAGGCGTCCATTGAAGCTCCCTTTCATCAAAACTTCTTGGGTAAGCATTGTTCAACTTGTTTTCTTCAATTTCCTCTATTAATTACTAAATTCCTAGCCCTAAACCTTGAAATCAAAGTAGAAAATGGGGGGTTTTGGGTAGAGTTAGGGCTTTGGGGATTTTGGGTGATTCAACCTCAATTTGGGGTCGAATCTTGAAATAAATTATATATTTGAACTCGTGGGGTTATGGGTGATTGGGTTTTGGTCCGAGCCTCGTGTTTGGACCATGTGGGACCGGTGTCGAATTTTGGTATTTTTGGAAGAATGATAGGAATTTCATTTCTAGGCTATGGGATTATGTTTTTGAGCCCTTATTGATATTATTGAACTAATTATGCCTAGATATCATTGTTTCGGAGTTGGATTGTAGAGTAAAGGTGGTATTAGAGAGTTGATCGCTATTCTTGGACCGAGGTTAAGTGTTTGTTCTAACTTTTGGCTTTGAGGGACTTAGGATTAGGATGTTATTTG